TTTTTTTTTTTTTTTTTTTTTTTTTTTTGCGTTGGAGTCTCTCTCACTCAGTCGCCCAGACTGGAGTGCAGTGGCCTCTCCCGGCCACCGCAGCCTTGACCTGCTGGGCTCTGGTGATCCTTCCGCCTCAGCCTTCCAAGTAGCCGGAACTACAGGTGCACGCTACCACACCCAGCTAATTTTTGATTTTATGTAGAGATGAGGTTTTGCCAAGTTGCCCTGGTGGATCTCGAACCTGTGGACTCAGGCAATCCACTCACCTCAGCCTCCCAAAACGCTGGGATTACAGGCTGAGCCACTGAGCCTGGCTACATCTTCAGTTTTAACAGTATTCCCAGTGATTTTTGTGGAGGTCTAAGTTATTCATAAGTAATATTTTTTCCTCAAAATGCCATATGTTTATTGCAACAAATTTTTTTGTATATGCTAACAATCACATATCTTACAATTTGCCACCTCAACCAGTTTAAACTATAGTAGTAGTAACTGTATACACAAGGTTTTACCGTAGACTCAAACTTTTCATCTTATAAACTATACCCATTGAATAGTAATTTCCTTATTCCCTCTCTCCAGCCTGTTATGAGACTTATTGTGATGTTTTGTGCTAAGTGAATTGTGACAGTGGTGGGATTCCAACTGAATGAGAGACAATGGTTTGGTTCATTTTGATTTTTAAATTTATTTGCATAGTCTAATTTACCAAATAAACTGATTTCAGTTAAGTTATTGAGCGTGGTGCTTTGTTTTGTTTTATTTTTTGTTGTTGCTTTTTAAAAACTCAGGCATATAATTCTTAGATTCTTCTTAGAGAGAGGATGCTATTTTTATGTTTAGGTCTCTGGCTTATTAATAAATGATTGGTAGTTTCTTGATAAATCAGTGGAGACAATGATTTTCTCATATTTTCCTGTGAAAGTAATGACATGGAAGAACATTTAGAGGAGCCTGTTGCTGAACCAGAGCCTGAGCCTGAACCAGAACCAGAGCAGGAACCTGTATCTGAAATCCAAGAGGAAAAGTCTGAGCCAGTTTTAGAAGAAACTGCTCCTGAGGATGCTCAGAAGAGCTCTTCTCCTGCACCTGCAGACATAGCTCAGACAGTGCAGGAAGACTTGAGGGTAGGTTTGTATGCTGTTTCTAGTTTATCTCTTCTTTATTGTAGTTTGATTTACTTTTGTACATACGTTTTCATATTGGTGGTTCAGGGAAATAGACTATGACACATTGAACCATAGTTCAGATAAAGAGGCGAGATGCAGGCTGCTATATAACATCAAAAATAGCCACCCCCTCATCCCCCCTAGGTAACTTGAATACCTCTTAGACCAGAAATTTCAGGTGCCATTTTATCACCGTATCAGTGACCCCCTGTCTTTTTAATATTTCATCTTTTATGTTGTAAATTATTATAAGCTTGTTATAACAATACAAGCGCATATCATATCATTTTTAGAAAAATAATATGACAGAACAGACTCTTTTTTTACCCTTAATTCTATGAAATTTAATTGAAGATAACTTTACAGTAGAAGTAGAAATAAACTGCTGAAATAGCTACTCTCCTAGGTGGAATACCTGATTTCAGGTTTTTTTGTTTTTTTTTTTTTTTTTGAGTTGGAGTCTCACTCTGTCACCCAGACTGGAGTGCAGTGGCCACTCCCGGCCACCGCAGCCTCGACCTGCTGGGCTCCAGTGGTCCTTCCGCCTCAGCCTTCCCAGTAGCCGGAATTATAGGCATGTACTATCACGCCCGGCTGATTTTTTGATTTATTGTAAAGATGAGGTCTCGCTGGCCAGACGGGTCTTGAACCTGCGGGCTCAGGCAATCCATTCACCTCAGCCTCCCAAAGGCGCAGGATTACAGGCTGAGCCACAGAGCCCGGCTTGATTTCAGGTTTTTAATAGTTGCTGCTCTTGAGTTCCATCAGGGTCATGTGTTCACTGAACTCACGGAATCTTTACATTTGATCCTCTGTGAAGGAATATTTTTTTTAATGCTATATTTATAGGGACAGGGCTATTATGTTTTTTTAAATTTAACAGTTCAAATGCCTGCATTTTTCTAGGTGTGGATATTTGTAAAACAGATAGGGTTCTTGCTGTCTTCCAGCTACAATGAGTAGGGAAGAGAAACGTTGAAATGACAGAAGTTTGCAAGTAGAAAACTAGGTTGGTTGAACTGAGGATGGATGACCAGTTAAGTGGCTGTTACAGTAATCATGGTGAGAGATAATGATGGTTTGGATTAGAATTGTGGCAGTAGAGATGGAGAAGAGATAATTAGGTAGAATAACAGGTTCTGATGATTTTTAAATGGATTGGAAAGGTGTTTTGATGGTTTTTCAGTTGGTGTAATTGGGTTGATGGATTGGGCAAGTCATAGGAAGTGCTAAACTGGTTTCCCAGGAGTTTTCTTTGATTCACAAACATGAAATTGAAAAAATAATAGCTCCTTTGACCTGTCATATTTGACTGATATTTGATCATTAGTCCCAGGAACTTTTAGTACTAAATTTTGAGTGGGTGAAAGAAAGGAATCTCAATATACTTACAGACTCCATCCATCCTGCTTGTGAGTATGTGGTACATATATTATGTAGAGGAAATCAAGCGTTAGTAGCTTTTATATTGTTTTGATATATGGTATAGTCATTAATGTTTATGTTTTCCCTTAGACGTTTTCTTGGGCATCTGTGACCAGTAAGAACCTTCCACCCAGTGGAGCTGTTCCGGTTACTGGGATACCACCTCATGTTGTTAAAGTGCCAGCTTCACAGGTAAGGTTCTAAGAAAACTTATGCATTAGGCAGATTTACTTGTATTTTCGTAATGTGATTTCACAGAGCTTTAGAATGTAGAAGCTGATAAAGAGAAGGGATAAGGTGGTTTTTAATGATTCTGTGTGTGTGTGAGAGAAAATTGTCACTAGAAAGTTTAAATCTTATTGTTTGCTAAAAAGGTTCATTTTTAGAAAGGGAAGCCTACTTTGTTTTTATGCAGAAGTTAATTTATACATTTTTCAGCCCCGTCAAGAGTCTAAGCCTGAATCTCAGATTCCACCACAGAGACCTCAGAGGGATCAAAGAGTGCGAGAACAACGAATAAATATTCCTCCCCAGAGGGGACCTAGACCAAGTAAGAACCCAGAAAGGGGGATTTCTGTAGTGTGGGAGATTTTGAGGTGAGAGCTTAGTTTTTAGGGGCAGTTGCTATTTGTGTACTTAAAAATACTGTAGGGTTGATTAAACTACATGTGTTTAGGGCAGAAAGAAAACTATTGAATGTAAATAGTCACTGTAAGTCTTTTCTTGTCTTTGATTGATGTTTTGTCTCCTTAAGTCCGGGAGTCTGGTGAGCAAGGCGATGTTGAACCCCGAAGAATTGTGCGACACCCGGACAGTCACCAGCTCTTTATTGGCAACCTGCCTCATGAAGTGGACAAAGCAGAGCTGAAAGATTTCTTTCAGAGTAGGTTATTGAGTTTCTAACACTGCATTCGTCTAGTGTAACACTGTGCAATGGACTTAGAAGATGAGCCATCACTGTAGTATTAAGTTTTCTAGTAGTCGTGTTAAAGAAAGTAAAAAGAAACTGGGTGCTTTAGTTTTAATAACATTTAACCCAGTATGTTTACAGCATTATCATTTCAACATGTAAGGATATTATAAGAGATATTTTACCTTTTTTTTATACTCAGTCTTTGAAATCCAGTGTGTATTTTGCACTTGCAACACATCTCAGTTCAGATTACAACGTTCTCAGTACTCAGTAGTCATATATGTCTGGTGGCTACTGTGTTGGGCAGTGTAGTCTCCTGTGTAAAGGAAACTCCTCCATAGTTACCTGAGGATCTGTTTCACTTCCAGATTATGGGAATGTTGTGGAGCTGCGCATTAACAGCGGTGGGAAATTACCCAATTTTGGTTTTGTTGTGTTTGACGATTCTGAACCTGTTCAGAAGGTCCTTAGCAACAGGGTAAGCAGTTTTTCATCTTGATTTATTATTATTTTTTTAATTTTTATTTTACAGATGTGGGGTAGAATTCAGGATTAAGTATAAAAATGCTCATTGTACAGGTAAAGTTTGGGCCACACTTTGATCTTCATTTTACCTGGTTTGAGATTAGTTACTCTTATTGATGAAGTGTGCCCCCCATTTATTATTATTTAAATAAGGGTGTATCTAAGTTCTTTGAATGTTTTCATCTTCACAGCTGTGTCTTCTGTATGTTAAGTGTAATTTATTCCAACATGTTTGAGAATTTATTCCATCGTGTTAAACCATTACATTAATAACACCTGGCTGGGTGTAGTGGCTCAACCTGTAATCCCAGCATTTTGGGAGGCCGAGGTGGGAGGATTGCCTGAGCCCGGGGGCTCAAGACCAGCCTGGGCAGCTCAGTGAGACCTCGTCTCTGCGGTAAATCACAAAAATTAGCCAGATGTGGCGTGTGTCTGTAGTTCCAGCTACCTGGAAGGCTGAGGCAGAAGGATCACCTGAGCTCAGCAGGTTGAGGCTGTGGTGGCTGTGAGTGTGCCACTGCACTCCAGTCTGGGCGACAAAGAGTGAAACTCCAATTCAAGAAAATCCAAACAAACATTAATAACACCTGCCTGGGGATTAAAAGAACAAAACTTACGTTTTTAGTAACTGTGGTTTTTGAAAAAGTGAGTAATGAGAATGAAAATACTAAAAGTTCCTATGTGCTGAGATTCGTGTAGGTGGCTCCCTGTGTAGAGGAAATGAAATACAATTTTACTTTTAATAAGATAAGAGCCAGTTTGCCCAGGGCAGTCTTGGTATATGACTGTTGAGTATAACTATTAAGAGTTTCTCCTTTCATTTTATAAATTTTCTGGGCTTGGGAAATATTTATGTTGTTACTCTACTTGAAACCACTTTTATTAGCAAGTACTTTTACGTGCACATTGCTGTGATCGAGGAATTTGTAGACTTGGAATCATACTGTGGAGCTCTAAGGATCCCGTCCCCTCCTCTGCATCTCCCATTTGCAGAGAATGACTTTGGCAGTAGTAGAGAAGATTAAGTATATAAATAATATTAATTTGCCGAGTTGAGTGTGGGATTTTTAAAGCTATAATGCTATTTTTATTGAGATGAAATTCACATCGCATAAAATTAACCATTTAAAAATGTACAGTCTAGTGGCATTTAGAACACATTGTTGTGTAGCCATTGCCTCTTAATCTAATTCCAAATTTTTTTTTTTTTTTTGAGTTGGAATCTCACTCTGTCGCCCAGACTGGAGTGCAGTGGCCGCTCCCGGCCACCGCAGCCTTGCCTGCTGGACTCCGGCGATCCTTCCGCCTCAGCCTTCCGAGTAGCCGGAATTACAGGCGCGCACTACCATGCCCGGCTCATTTTTTATTTATTGTAGAGATGAGGTCTCGCCAAGTTGACCAGGCGGGTCTCGAATCCACGGGCTCAGGCAATCCACTCACCTCAGCCTCCCAAAGGCACGGGATTACAGGCTGAGCCACCAAGCCCGGCTCCAAATTTTTTTTGTTAAAAGTAGTAAGTTTGGCCAGGTGCGGTGGTTCATACCTGTAACCTCAGCACTTTGGTAGACTGAGGCAGGAGGATCATTGGGGCTGGGAGTTATGAGACCAACCTGGGAAACATATATAGACGCTGTTTCTACAAAAAATGAAAAAAAAATTAGGTGTGGTGTGTGCCTGTAGTCCCAGCTGTTTGGGAGGCTGAGGTGGGAGGATCTCCTAAACCTAAGAGTTTGAGATTGTAGTGTACTCTGATCTTACCACTGCACTCCAGCCTGGGAGAGACAGTGACATCCTGTCTCTAAAACAGAAAAGTAGTAAGCTCTTTAAAAGACCCATTAAGTAGTCACTCTCTAGCCCCTGGCAACTGCAAATCTGCCTTTTATCCCTGTGAATTAAAACTTTACTTTTCTTTTTTTAAAGAGATAGGCTCTCTCTTTTGCCTAGGTTGGAGTACAGTGGCACGATCATAGCTTGCCTCAGTTTACTGAGTAGCTGGGACTACTGTTGTGTGCCACCACACCCAGCTATGAAACTACACGTTTTAAACGATGTAATAGAAATGGTGCAGATCAGTGACATTCTCTGGATTGTTAATAGGTACTGCAGAGTTTGATGTTGTGGTCATAACATGTGAACTTTAATCTGCAAATTTGCATTATGTTTCAAATTGTTTGACCACATATTTTTGTGAAGCCCCCCCACTATAAAACACTTGACGAAATGAGGAGAGAAGAGTGGTTTATCTCCCCAAGGCCACAGAAGACTGAACCCAGAAATGCCCAGTAGGCTTTGTAGATAAATCCATTCTTTAGCATGTCTGAGGTCTAGTGGTCACCCTGCATTTTAACGTATTAGAAGAAGTCTACTGTATTCAACTTTTTTTTTCCTTAGTGGGAGTCTCACTCTTGTCCAGGCTGGGGTGCAGTGGCATGATCACCACTCACTGCAGCCTTGATCTTCTAGGCTCAAGTGATCCTTCTGTCTTAGCCTCCTGAGTAGCTGAGACTGCAGGCACATGCCACCTTGCCCAGCTAAGTTTTTGATTTTTTTTTGTGGAGTTAAGGTCTGTCAATTGCCAGGCACGTTTCAAACTTCTGAACTCAAGTAATCCTGTCGTTTTGGCCTTCCAAAGTGCTGGAATTACAGGTGTGAGTTACCATGCCTGGCCCTTCAGTAATTTTTTGTGAGAACAGAACTAGCTTATATAAGACTGATGACAGTGGCATATGGCATGCAGTTACGTGGCTTAGTGGTTCAGAGCTTACTGTTCCCAGGCAGGAGGTCTTCTTGGTGTACATTCTTCTTCATCATGCATTCGTGTTGTGACCCATGGGACATGTCTTACCCTCTAGCCCTTAGTTTGCTATTCTCTAAAGTCGGTGTCATAGCAACCTTTAGAGGGTTGTTGTAATGATTAAATGAGCTAATAAATTTGATTAAAACACTTACCTGGAACATCGTAAGTAGTTACATATTCATTTTAAAAAATAATTGAGTTAGAATATTATGTTGCCAGTGAAGAGCATTCATTGACTTCATTGGAATGTTTGGTAACTACTTTGTTAACTACTTCGGCTCTATTAGCAGAAAAAGAAGACAAAACTTAGTCTGGATGTATCTTTTTTTGTTGTTTACTAAGATATATTATCTTGGCTGGGCGGGGTGGTTCAAGCCTATAATCCCAGCACTTTGGGAGGCAGAGGCAAGAGAATTGCCTGAGCCCAGGGGTTCGAGACCAGTCTGGGCAACTTGGTGATACCTCATCTCTACAATAAGTCAAGAAGAATTAGCTGGTTATGGTGGTGCATGCCTGTAGTTCCAGCTACTTGGAAGACTAAGGTGGAAGGATCACCTGATCCTAGCAGGTTGAGACTGTGGTGACTGTGAGCGTGCCACTGCACTCCAGCTTGGTTGACAGAACGAGACTCTGACTCAAAAAAAAAAAAAGGATGTTATATTTTTTCTTATCAGCGTTTTTCAGAATTCTTATAAGACAAATAACATTTTAAGTTATATTTAGGTCAGATTAATGTTGCTTTTATTTGTAATGTATATGTACTTTGCATGGACAGTACAGCACCATCTTTTCACAATATGTGGATGATGAGGCATTCTAGCCTCCAGATCTATGGAGAAGGTTGCAACTCTTATGTTAAATTTACATAATTCTGTGAGAAAATAAGATTTCCTTTATTAAGTACAGTGAGAATTACTTGTCCTGCTGTGCTCTTTAAGTTGGCTTTATTGAGTTGGTCTGCACATACCTAGCCATCTTTTCATGTATTTGTTAACCCTTGATTCCTGCAGCCTATCATGTTCAGAGGTGAGGTCCGTCTGAATGTGGAAGAAAAGAAGACGCGAGCTGCCAGGGAAGGAGACCGTCGAGATAACCGCCTTCGGGGACCTGGAGGCCCTCGAGGTGGGCTGGGTGGTGGAATGAGAGGCCCTCCCCGTGGAGGCATGGTGCAGAAACCAGGATTTGGAGTGGGCCGGGGGATCGCTCCACGGCAGTGAATTACTCTCCACCAGTCTTCACGCAGCAGTACAAACCTTAGCTCCTGCGAAATGGTGAATTTCTTCAACCAGCCTTTGGTATCTTGGAGTATGACCCTAGTCTGTTATAAACTGCTTAAGTTTGTACAATTTTACTTCTTTTTGTGTTAATGTGTGTGCTCCCTTACCGCCCCCCCCCTTAGTCCTTGACTTCCAATTTTGTGGAATGATATTTTAGGAGTAATGGATTTTTAAAGAAGAAAGAAAAAGACTGAATTTTCCTTGCTTTGCATATACAGACTGGATTTTTTTTTAACCGCCATTTCCCCAAAGGAATGTGTCTTGCTTATTACTGACATTTGGTATGTTTCATTCATTGGAATATTTCTTACTTATTTTCTACGTTTCAAAAGCCTGTGAGAAATACAGGATTTGATAAACATTTTGAAGGCAGGAAAAACCCAAATTGTTTCATGACTACCTTCTGGTGTGGAGAAATTGCCATTGGAAAATTTGACAGTTTTAATTCTCACTGGTATGGTTAAAAACTGAATAAAAGATGTTAATAGAGTTTTTTCCTTTTGATACATGATCACAAAAGAATTCTAAAACCTACTGTTTTTACCATTGAAACTTAAATTGTCATAGGTTTTAAATGTCTAGGATGCAACTGATACGCTTTTCTTGAACTGTTAGTTTTTTTGAGGTAGAGTTTTTTCATGTTTAATTTGTATTTGTAAAAAAAAAATTTCCAAAAATCCAGATAACAAAAAAACAGAGCAAAACTGTTGTGCCTTCTTATTTATATTTGATTCCAGTCTTGGCAGTTGTTTAAAGAAAACTAATTTTAAAAAATCTGGATTTGTTTAATCAGGTTCAGAGTATGTGGGGAATTGTAGAGTCCCTCTTTCATCACTTTGTATGTCTTCTGTTACCATTTGTTATGCCTTATTCTAAAATTGAGTCTCAAACTGGAATGCCTTTGAAGACAGATGCTGCTATAGAGGTCCTTTGACCTAAATAGTTGAGCATTTGTATTAAGTTTTATTCTGGTATCTAATCAGATTCCTAATCATAGCCCATACAAAGGAATGTGACCTTAATATTGGACTTTGCTGATGTGCTCAAGTGTCTGCATTTTTTTTTCTTTAAATCATAGCCATATGGTAAATTTTCTATTTTGTTAATGGTTTTCTTTTATTGATGGGCATGCAGTGGATGTTTCTTGGAAATGGCCAATTTTTATTATTAAAATATTTCTGGAAGAAAATTTAATCTGGCAATATAGACTAATACTCGTTTTACATACTATGTTATTTGTTGAATGCTGTGTGTGAGGTGGGTGAAGGTTTTGTTTACACGTGTGAAGCAAGCCTTTGTGTGATAACTTGTCATTACTAATTGAAGGGCAACCACGTTGTCAGATTTAACTTATTTATTCTTAACAGCGTTCATCTTTAGGACAGTCATTTGAGGGTAGTATAGGAATAGGAATGTCTTGTTTGTTTTTCTGTTACAGAGAAACTCTGGGTTTGCTGTGAAGGGGTTATCACTAAAATGAAGGCTGATATTAGTTTGCTCCCAAAACCTAAAATATATAAAAATTGACAGCATCTTATTCACATAAAGAAACTTAAGGCTGGATGCACTGGCTCATACCTGTATTTCCAGGAGGCTGAGGTTGGAGGATCTCTTGAGGCCAGAAGTTTGAGACCAGCTTGGGTGACAGAGTAAGACTCTATCTTTATTAAAAAAAAAAAAAGAAGAAAAAGGCGGTGGGGGGGGCTTAAGTAATTGAGTCACATGGCTTTTTTTGGAGGTCAGTTTAAATATCTATTTGGGAACCACTTTTGGCCCAGGCCAGTGATAATTGGAAGAACTTGAGTTTGTACTTTTATAGCTTACATTAAGCTTGTGGTGGGTGAAAACAAAAGTTAGCCTAAGTAACTTTAAAAAAAATTAATTTGCAGTAATTTTGTCATAAATTATGAGTAACCTAGAAATTACTTTTCACAAGTGAATACTAAATTGCACATTTTGAAACAGGAGTTTTTCCTATTCAGAGGCTTGAGGGCAATAACTAGAAGCAGTGACCCTCAACTTGGCAGTGTTTTCATATCCTAGACGGCATTTGGAAATGTGTGAGATTTGGAGGGGTTATGAGGGGACACACGCATCTGGCATTTATTGGATAGGGGCCAAGAATACCAAGTCTTTTGTAAAAATAAAGCAACCCTGTTGAGAGCATTGATTTTTCCATATTTCTGAGTGGGTGAAACTGGGAGAATTAGGAAAACTGGTGTGAAGACTCATTCTTTTGAAATTCAGCCTCAGATAAATTACAAACTAATTAGGAAATGGAAATCTATTTGAGGAATTCAGTAATATCTACTTTAATTAAATATTTCAACTTCCATTATTTGTATCAAATGTGTGTGTATTGCATTTAAATGTGGGGTGGTAGTAGCAATATATGCTAGATCCTGCTTGTTAATTGTTGCAGAGAATTACTGCATAACCTCAGAAAACTAAAGTCTTCCCCAGTAATTTCAAGTCATTAGAATTGGGATGACTGGGGTTTTGAATAGCAGTGGACCTGAGAAATAGGTCAACACTATTCAGGATTCCAATGTAATTGTGTACTTATTGCATATAGAATAAATATAAGAGCTTAGAAATGCACACATTCACATAGCTGGAAAATGAAAATACGTTAGGGCAAAATTTTTTAGAGACAGCAGGAGCTCATCACCTTCAACTTTTTTAGATTTTGAAATATAATCTTTTGTCTATAGAAATGGTGCAGTGTGCAGTTATTTGTTACTGAGCACAAAACTTTTGACCCATGGGTATTTTTATTTTATTTTAATTTTTTAGAGGCAGGATCTTGCTGTGTTGTCCAGACTAGTCTTGGACTCCTGACCTCAAGTGATCCTCCTATTTCAGCCTTCCAAGTAACTAGAACTTACAGGTATGTGCCACCACACCTGCCCCATGATTATTTTAGCTAGATTAAATTATTTTGGTTCAGTGGTCTGTTATTTTGGTTCAGTGGTCTGGTAAGGTCTTGAACCTTACAAAATATTTTTGTTGGCCAGGTGCAGTGGCTCATGTCTATAATCCCACCCCTTTGGGAGGCTGAGGTGAGATGATTGCTTGAGCCCACCAGTTTGAGACCAGCCTGGGCAACTTGGCAGCACCTCATCTTTACAATAAATCAGAAATTAGCTGGGCATGGTGGCTCGTACCTGTAGTTTCCAGCTACTTGGAAGGCTGAGGTGGAAGGATCACCTGAGCCCAGCAGGTTGAGGCTGTGGTGGCCGTGAGCATGCCACCACACTCCAGCCTGGGCGACAGAGTGAGACTCCGATTCAGAAATAAAATTTTTTTTTGTTTGATGGTGAGATTGGGTTCATGTATTCTGATCTCAACTTTCGCAACTATTTCTGGGGGGCAGTGAAGTGGATAATCCAAAAAATAGTTATTTGACTTTGGATGAATAGGTTACTACCACAGTATGAGTTGAATTGCACTTGTAGTGTTAGGTTGTAAAAGTTAATTTTTGCCTTTAAGCTGGAGGTTAGCTGATATTATCCCCAAAATAATAGATAAACAATCAAAACAATTAAATGACTAGGCCTCCAAGTCATCCACGTAGCAAGGAGCAATTGGCCTTCCAGACTGATGCTTTTTCTCTAGAAGCGTAATGCCTACCAGTTTTACATTTCAACGACGTACACTGTAATGAACTTACTACTGTAGAAAGACCTGAGCCTGAGAGACATCCAGAACAAGGTTAGCACTACCGTTCTTCTTTCCTTGAGGGCAAACAAGATCATTAAGCTTAGATTTTGTAGCTCTCCTGTTGGTTTGCAGATTTTATCCGGTAGTACAAGAGTGATTTGTTCTTAATTTTTTTTCTCATCTGGGTTGATAATACATTTAGTACAAACTTGAAATTTGGATGTGAATGATGACAATATTTTTATTATAGCATAATGCAGGTGAGTTTACAGAAGTTGTGTTTTGTGTTTGTTACTGCCACCCCCCAATACTTCATCTCTTTATTTGAAAATCCTTGTAGATTAGAACGATTTGGTGGACACTGGCATTTGTATAAAGCAATTTGTTAGACTTTGAATGGAAATCTTTCTATAAAGTTTAGATTTATAGACCACTGTGCATACTGAGTGACATTTCTTTTTAAGTAAATGGTTGCATTTGTCAAATCTACTGATCTAAAGATGTTTTTTTATTTTTTTTATTTTTTGAGTTGTGGTCTTACTCTGTCATCCAGGCTGATATGCAGTGACGTGATCACTGGCTCACTGCAACCTTGAACTCTTGGGCTCAAGCAGTCCTTCTGCCTCAGCCTTCTGGAGTAGCTGGGGCTGCAGGTACATGCCACCACACTTGGCTAATTTTTTTTTTATTTAAGAGATGGGGTCTTTCTATGTTGCCCAGCCTGGTCTTAATCTTATGGGCCCAAGCAATCCCCCCACTTCACCCTTCAGTGCTGGGATTACAGGCTTGAAGATTCCGTTTTTTTTTTTTTGTTTTTTTTTTTTTGAGTTGGAGTCTTACTTCATTGCGCAGGCTGGAGTGCAGTGGCATGCTCATGGCCACTGCAGCCTCGACCCCTGGGTTTTCCAAGTAGCTTGGGACTACAAGTTAGTTGTGTGCGCCCCCACACCCAACTAATTTTTTGATTTTATTTTAGAGACGAGGTCTTGCCAAGTTGCCTATACTGGTCTTGAACCTCTGGACTCAGGCAGTCCTGTTGCCTTCACCTCCCAAAGTGCTGGGATTACAGGCGTGAGCCACTGCGCCCGGCAAAGATGTCTTTTTATATTGCAGTGTTCTTTTTATGGTTACTTAAAAGAATTTCTGCAGAACTACATACAGATTCGTAAATTTTCCACCTTTCAGTTGAGCAATTTTTAACTTGTAAAAGAAATACCAACAACATTTATTTGATTATCAAGTTTTAGCTAGTTGCCTGATGCACCAAAATATTGCAGTGAGCAACTAGAGAGCCTTCCACTAACGCTTAGAAATGGAGGAAAGTCTCCCATGGGATGAGGTCTTGGATAAAGTTGCTGATCAGTTAATAACCATGTGGCACTAAGTACTAACTAGTTTAAATAAGAATTCCTGGTCTTACGGTAGTGATGCCTTGGGGGGTTATGCTTGTCTACTGTAATGTTGAGGTTCTGGGCATGTCACCTCCTGATACACTTATGAGTAAAGGAGAAATGGTTGCATATGTGAGATCAAACCTATTTCTTTTCTTTTTTTTTGAGTTGGAGTCTCACTCTGTTGTCCAGGCTGAAGTATAGTGGCATGCTCACGGCCACCGCAGCCTCGACCTGCTGGGGTCAGGCGATCCTTCCACCTCAGCCTTCCAAGTAGCTGGAATTACAAGCACGTACCACCACACCTGGCTGATTTTTTGAGTTATTGTAGAGATGAGGTCTCGTCAAGTTGCCCAGGCTGATCTTAAATCCATGGACTCAGACAATCCTCCCACTTCACAAAGTGCTGGGATTATAGGTGTGAGCCACTGTGCCTGCCTCCAAATCTGTTTCTATTACATTCTTATTAATGGGTCTGTATTCATCTCGGGATAACACTGAAGTTAGGCTGCCTTGCTCATGTGTTCATGGTAGCCTCATCTCAGGCCCTAAATGAGCAAAGTGTTGATTAGAGGTTACCTAAAAACCCTTATCAAGTTTTGGTTTTATTATGTATATTATTTGGCTCAAAATCAAGGTTTCTCAGTTTTTGTTTATATGACTTGTTTTGAAAACTATGGACAGTTTCCCTTTTCAGTTTCCTCTTGAACCCAGTAACTTTTTCTAGTTCTCTGTAAGAGGAAAATAATCCTGGGGTTTATTTCCACTGATAATTTTCTTTTTTTTGAATTGGTGTCTCACTCTGTCTCCCAGGCTGGAGTGCAGTGTCATGCTCACGGCTATCGCATCCTCGGCCTGCTGGACTCAGGTGATTCTTCCACCTCAGCCTTTCAAGTAGCTGGAACTACAGGCACGCTCCACCACGCCTGGCTGATTTTTTGGTTTATTGTAGAGAGGAGGTCTTGCCAAGTTGTCCAGGCTGGTTTTGAACCCATGGGTTCAGGTAATCCTCTCACCTTGGCCTCCCAAGTGCTGGGATTATAGACGTGAGTCACCGTGCCTGGCCTTTTTTTTCTTTTTGAGTATGAGTCTCACTCTGCTGTCCAGGGTGGATTGCAGTGTCATACTCACGACCGCCGCATCCTCGA